ATCAAACATAAAAGGAACACAAAGATCATAGTCAGTTCAATAAAAGCACAAGGGACAGGGTAGTCTATTAGGGTCCATCCACTTGCATTTTAATAAAGTAGATTAAAGGAGAGTATAAGACCTTCAGAATGGTGCTATTGTAAGAACCAGTCTTTTTCCCATATTCCGTAAGTGCCAAGCCAAAATTCTATAAACTCGGGGGAAAGTGTTGATAAATTTCCTCCTGAAAGTTTACCTGTTCTCTTTAAGCCTGCCCATTCATGAGCTTGCTTCTGTGTGGTGACTAACACCAGGAGTATTAAAGATTCTTTCCTTTGTTAGCTTTACTCCTCAGAGTTTATTTTGAAGCCAATTTCCTATCCTATGCTGCAGAAGACTTGGAACCTGTCATGCACACAACTCCCAGACATGAACAGCAGCATTGTTTGAAAAAGTGTGTTGGGTTATGCCCTAACTACAGAACCTACACAATCATACAGCTCACTTTCAGTATACTTAGAACCCTTAGTGACAAAGCGGGACTTGGTCATTATTTCCTAAAGCCAGATCTGGAAAAGGTCAAGGTTGAAGTTGGTGTGCAAAATGTAGTCAAACCTTGATTTCTTTTTTTGGGCAAATGTTCGTGGAAAAGAGCACTGAGTAAGTGTTCATCCAAGGCAAGCGAGAATCCAAACATCGCTGGGGTTTTAAACAGCCACTTTCCCTTCGAATTTGATTTTTCTCAGCCCAGTGTTCAAAATTGTTTTCCTTCTCTTGACACATGCCAAATATTGGCAAAGGAAGTGATCCCAGTGTCCTGTATACAGGAATCAACTCTTTCATGTTTTGCTTTGGGCTGTTTTCTCCCGGCTGATGTCAACCCTGGCTCCCCCTCCCCTCTTTCACCCACGAAATCCAATTGTTTGTACAGGGGAAAAAATGAAGTTACAAAGGGCATTTGTTTTTCGTGCTCAGCACTGTAGGAGAACATTCTGGAACAGTGTAAGAGTGGCTGTATGGTGTTACTTGGGAAGCGCCCACAAGTTCTTTTGAAACAGATTTGGAACAGCTGGACCACTGCAGTGTTTTATTTTAAAATAGACAACATATGTAATGCATATGGTCCTAGACATGTATGGAGACACAGGCAGACAATCTGAATGGTATCCAAAGACACCTGCACCTAGAATTCTGTTTCCTTCTTGAAGAGGTTTTTTTTTCCCCCTAAGAGCACATGTTCCCACTTTTGGATTTGCAAGATGCCATCTGAATCCCCATGTGTGTGACTCCTTAATAAAGCCAATGGGAAGTTGCCTGGTGTGGAGGTGTCAGAGTCATTCAGTTAATAAACACCTCTTAAGCCTTGGCTCTTCCAGGAGCTGGCAAAGGAAATAGCAGGTTACACATGCCCTCACTAAGCACCCTACCTGCCAGGGGATTCGTTTGTGTGTGTGCACAGAAGATGCACAGAGAAGTTGGAACCTAATCTAGGAATTTTTTTTTTTTAAGCTACAGAAACAGGACATAGGAATTGGTTACTCAGGGTAGAACAGAACCATGAAGCTGAGAGACTAGGAAGGACTCCCAGCTTCTCCAATGTCTGTGGTTTAAGAAGCAAGGTATATTAGCTGTAAGTACAGAGAGATCTTGGCTGGTCTACCAGCTTCTAACTAACGGGCACTGCTTGTTTACTTTCACTGAATGTTCCCTGAGTGCTACTATATGTCAAGTGCCTTCCAGACATGTCTCAGTAGATCCTAACAGTAGTCTTGAAGTCTGTTTTCAGTTCACAAGCTAGGACAAGGAGGTTCAGAAACATTAAAACCCTGCCTCCCACCAGAGAAATGGCAGCTCTAACCACAAACCCACATAAGACATCTGACTTCACTAACCACTATCTAAACCCTTATCAAATAGACTCTTCCCAATGAATTTAGTATTGCAACATTTCATTAAACCAAGAAATGGAAAACATTTATCAGGAGAGACAGAGTTTATTTACTTTGGTCAAATCAGTGTACTATCTTAACAACTATATATCAAGTCTCTGCTGTGTTCCAGGTACTGTGCTAATTGCGAGGATATAGCAGAAAACAAAAAGTACCAAACTCGTTGCTTTAAAAACATACTCTTTTCATTGACACCATGAAATAGCATTCCCAGTTTACACTTCCCTCTTTTTCAGAATATAATACACTCAGAGAGATTCCTTTAAATGTCGTGGGAGCCAGCCACCCTTTTAAGTCCTTTTTGAGTTGCTGTAACTATTGCCATAATGAACCTAATTCTGAATAAATGATAAATTTTGTGCAAGCCAAAATCCAAGAGCTGCTCGTTTTATTTGCTGAGATTTCACTGCATTAAGTTCCTTGCTGCACATCGGAGTGTACAAGGATCTTTATGATCATTAAACCAGTCTGTGGTGGCAGAAAGGAAACCAAAAGTTCAGCTCACCCTACACACAGGGATACTGAGGCTCAGCAGGATAAACCCTTCAGCCAGCACCTGACAATTATCAACAAACAGAAGGAACCTAGAACCCAGATCTCCTGAGTTCCATCCCAACCTAAGAAGGAGGGAAAAAAGGAAAACAAAAAGGGGAAAGATGTTTTGTTTTGATAGTTATTGTAGGGAAAGGAAAACAGGTTGATTTTACACATATTTCTGTAAGCCTGCTTTAAACTGTCAATAGAAAAGGCATATTCTTAGCCAAGAATTAGCACGTGAAGCTGTGTTTATTGAGCCTTTGGGATGAGATGGGAGTGGGGAATGATCTGTCCCTATGTTTCCTTACAGGAACCAAGTTTCCTTTTTAGCTCCATTTCCCATGTGGGCGGCAAGGCAAAACAGGTCATCAGCCAAGTATTCAAGGGGTTCAAACAAATAAACCGAAGAGAAAGACACTTGAAAACTGTGCTCTTATTTTTAATAGCTACTAAAGAGCCCCCTTCTCTTTGAGCTAAATGACCCAGTGTATGGTCATAATTAAGGAGCAATAAAGCAGCCACAGCAAAACTGACATAAGTAAGACCTCGGCAGCCTCTTACTGAGAAATCTGAGAGCAAGAAGCTACTGCTAGCCAGACTGCCTGATCTGTCCATTTGAATTGGGAGGCAGGAGGTGGATGAAGTTTTTTTTATAAGGACATAACAGGATGAGCAATTCATGTACACAGAGCACTTGGTTTTTGCTGAATTCAGTTGACCAGGTACAGGTAGGATGAAGAGGCAAGGGTAACAGAGAAAGGCCATCTCCATGGTACAAGTTGTTCTTATGCCAGGTGAGACATCACGTGAGAACAAGTTTAAAATCCTTACCTTGGGTCCCAGGTAGCATTTCCCCCACCCAGGAGCAACTAGTTTTCTCCCCAGTTCCACTTTCCTGACCATCCTGAGTCAAGTCTTCCTAAGCCAAACACTCAATCTCAATCCCTTAAAAGCTGTTCCTGAGGACAAATCCAAAGCATCTAGCACAGCCAGGAGATTTCTCACAGATTCCCTAATATCATTTCTGTACACGTGATAACCCTTCCAAACGCTCATGTGTTATCATTTTTAATGGAACGATCTGGCTGTTAAAATACGCATTCTTCAACTTGCCTTCTGGAAACTGTTGCTTCTGTGTGTCTTGGGCATAAACAACACATCTTGTTCAAACACTGACCACTTGCTGCTTCTCTGAAAAATGACGACCGGAGATTTTATTTTTAATCTAACAATCGATAGGGAGGTTTAAATCAGACACGCTCTGCGTTTAAGTTTGCGTGCTACCCTAAAATCAATAAGAGAAGAAATCAACATGTTAAAGTCAAATTGCTACATAACCCAAGCCTACAACTATATCCTCAACAGGGAGAAGGGGAAAAAAATCTTCCTGGGATGGAGGCCACGTATGAAAATATTATTCAGACACCCTCCCAAGTCAGAAATCAATTTCCCTGTCGCCCTGATAGCATTGCTGCTTCCTGCCAGGTCCTCTATCACAGTGAAATGTTACACGCTAGGAAATGAGCAGAATCTTGTTCGATTTGATTTTTCCTTGTAGTCTGCAGAACAAGGAATTGAGTTTACGATGAGGTGGACTGAGCTGAATCCTTTCATGCAAAAGACCTTTATTACTACCTTTTTATTTAAGCTTTTTTTTTTTTTTTTTTTTGGTAGTCGAATTCTCCGTGTTATTTTGCCAGCCAAGGGTAGTATTTTTTAGTTACTCATGTTGAGAATGATTAGTTAGCAGCCCTTGCAAGGTTTTGCCTGCAGCCCTTAACCTCCAAGAAAAAGTGTGGCTACATTGAGATCATTCATTCACAATAAATGGCAGGTTATAACCCTAGGAGAGTAAATTTCTGTTCGTCTCATGAGCTTTACTAACCAAGTAAGCACATAAAAAAGCAATATCCTCGGCTGTCACACTCAATTCCCATTTAACTTAATCTCCAGGTTTCAATGGAAATTTTTTCTTTTTAATTTTTAATTTTAGAGGGTGGGGACTCAAAATCTTCTGTGAAACAAAATTGGCAATGGGGATTTGGAAAGAGAGGGGACACAAATATTGTCACTTTTGCTGAAAATCAGCGTAACCCTTTTTTCCCCCCCAGACAATCCCAATAATTGTAGAGAAATTGCACTAGACATAACCACTGGAATGGCAGAATCTATTATAAACCTACGAAGCTAACTAGGCTATGATAAGCAAAGATCCGATCTGCTTTCAGTATTTGGTGAAATGCAGGCGAAGTTACGGTCTTGTGCTTAGTTTTTCAAGAACAACATGAATGCACTGGAACTGTGATCATTTGATAAACATGTTGATGCCAATATATTTTTGCCTAAATGCAGTAAACTCATGATGCAAGTTGACAATGGGAGGTAAAAAGAATATCTTGGGGATATTGGTGGGGGGTAAGAGGGAACCAGTTAACATTCATAATGCCTAGTGAATTCCTGTATAATTTGAAATGTCAGAGAAAATGTGATGTGTTTCTCTAAATTGTGTCTCTCTCTACATGTATAAATGAACAGACGCAGATAGAGCTCAAAAACATGGCATGGATGAATTTATCTCTTCCAACCCCTGTAACTTTGACCACGCTTCCCTCTTTGAGATGGTACAACGCCTGACTTTGGATCACAGACTTAATGATTCCTATTCTTGCCTGGCAAGTATATTCTTTGGTCTACAGCAATTTAAACATTAACATTTTTTAATACCCCAAAGACTTCTCTACCTATGTGTCAGAAGCTCAAGTCTCCTTTTTTAACAATCAGAATCCCTTAAACCATCGTGTGTTATTGATTTCCTGCACTGAGCTAGTTTTACATACCAAAGAAGCAAGACTGAGTTGGAAGAAGTGACACGTTCAGTTCCCCAGCTTTCCCCTCTTAGTTTGCTCCCCTTTCAACTGAAATCTTCCCCTGAGGGTAATGGGCTTGGCACCTGCTTGTGAAGAATTTGTAAAACTTAGTGTTTAAGAGTCCCTTCCTCCCAATCCCAGACCTGGTATTCCGGGCTCATAAAGGAATGTATTCTTTTTGAGTCTCTTTTAAAGATGGGAATGATTTGTAAATAAACTCCAATTACTTTCCATAACCCTAATTGGTTTTTGTTTGTTTGTTTGTTTGTGTGGGTGTCTTTTTGTTTCTTCATAATATTTAGAGCCCTTTTATGCCCTTGATGGGAATTATTTTTATGATACATTAGACATTTGGAAATCTAACTATCCAACAAGAGAATTGAAATTTCCTAAAATCCTATTTTAAACATAGATTTTAATTAGTTAAATGCAAGGGACTGCTATTACATTTTTATTGGATTTTGAAGATACATTTTTAGCTTTGCGCTATCAAATGTAAAAGCCAAAAAGGGAAAAAAAAAAAGACTCCATTTATTTCCTTCGGCAAGCCATAATTTATTACTTTATTTCTTAAAGGCAAATATTATTTTCCCCCTTTATGGATGGGAAGAATGAGGAAAATGATAAAATAACTTTATAAAGAGAAAATTTTCCTCCTCCAACCCCAAATATGGAAATCAATATAATTAGCATATTGCTGATATTAATAGATATATAATGAAAACCTTTTTCTTTTCTAAATTACATGTCTATATTCTATCTGTATTCTAAATGATTTTTATTTTAAAGCTATTTATTTTTGATAACCAGAAGCTAACGTATAAAAATAATAGTAGTAAAATAATATTAAAATAGAAACAAGGTTCTGAAGAATAATTTATTAATTTGTGGCAGAAATGATACATTGATTATCTTGGGTTTAGAATTCCTTACTAGAAGACTCTGCCAAATTGGAAAGAGATAAAACACATTGATTTACAATTTTTAAATTAAAAAAAGCTTACCTTGCATTGCAAGGCAAATTTTCTCAATGTGTATTTATGTAATTATAAATTACATTTATGAAAATTGTGAGAATATGCATCTGAACTTAAATCATTCCCTACTATATATAATTCCTGTTCTCGTGAGGAATTTTTGAGATGTATTTGCAAGACTCTTCACATTATTATTCTTTCAAAAATTAATTTTCTCTTGTTTTGAAATTTATCATGGAAGAGAATTAATAATGCCCTCTAAAAATTAAACCAGAATGAAACATTGAAGCTTATTTCCCATTAGTTATTATAGGCTTAAAGATATGGTCAAAAAAAATTAATTATAAATAGATTAAAATAGCTTTATTCTCCATTTGTATACCTGTATCTATTAATTGTCATTCCAGAATTTCAGAAAATAACAGAAATTAAAAGGACCTCATCTCAAGCCTCTATATATTCCATTTTCTCATTATTACAATCTTTTTTTTTAAGTTGGTTTTGGAGACCGACCAGCAGGGATACATAAATTTTTCTGTGTCTTCGACTCAGTTCCTAATTGATATTTCTTCAACTCTTTTCAAAGCAGCTATTTTGGCATCTACAAAAGACTTGGTGTCATCTGAGTCGTAGAAAATATATTTTAATCTTTCACAGCAGTGTTGTTTCTAAGATTTAGCATTTGGGGTAGCAGATGGAGTGGCAAAGAAGTTGCCTATAGGGGCAGCCCACTACCTCGACTACTCTCCCGCCCTCCGAAGTAACTTATCATTTGAAATAGGAAAGATGCCGTCTTTCCTTGGATGCATCGCAGAGCTGCTGGTTGTCAATCGAAGATTTCCCAGATCTCTAATATGTGGTTAGAGCGTGGCCAGGGCCTCTAGGGCTGTACTTTTGTGGCCCGCTCTGGGCTCTGCTTAGTTTTTCTTTTTGCCCCTTCTTTCCCAAGATGGAACAATATTCAAAAACTGACTCGGAAGGGACCCTTGAAGTAAAATTAAGTTTATGTTTAAAACGGCCCCAAATTTCCAATTTGCAAAGTACCAGCTACACGGATTTATTTCTTACTTCAGAACAGCACTGAAACCAGAAAATGTACGTGTGTGTGTGTGTGTGTGTGTGTGTGTGTGTGTGTGTGTGTGTGTGTGTGTGTGTGTGTGTGTGTGATTTGATTTCAAGCTCTGCCCAAGGGCGACCCCGAGTGGCAAATCATGTGGCCTTTCTGAGCTCCTGTTTTCCCAAGCACATGGCAGAAGTAGCAATTTGTATCCTATCATGGCACTGAATCTACTCCTAATCAGATTCCATCTGGATTCTCTTTTATAGCAGAGTTTGGGCTAGTCTCATAGCAAGCAAATAAATACGAAGAAAACAAATAATTACCAGCAGGGAAAAAAAAAAAACCTCTTAAACCACACCACAAAAAGCTCCCCTCAGTTTCACAGAATCAAATCTGCTTTACTTAGTTGAATTATACAATTCAACTAAGGTTATGTTATTGCTTTCCTTTTAAAATTGCAGAACGAAAAATCTTCTAAAGTAGAAAGATTTATGAGGTTCCGGCACGTATGTAAACCAACTCATATTCTTTTGTGTAACAGAATGAGAAGGATATAGCAGAGCTAGATTTGAGTCCTGACTCCGTTGTACATAATCGGTGTGAGTTGCTTGGCCCCCGTTTGCATTTCTTTTCTCCAAATGGAAGAGAAAAGCCCATCCTGTTTATCTCACAAGGTTGCTAGATGGCTCAACTGAAAATTCTTCATCAAGCAGGAAGTACTATAGCAATTCAAGTCCCTTGGGAGCTGATTTTTCTCTTATCAGTAACCAAGACTTTGCTATAGCCTCAGGCCAATTCTTTAAGATACCTGGCTCAGTAGTGGAGCCCTGGTTGAATCTTTCTGGAATCCTTCTCTCTGCTGATACAGCTTTACCACCTAACTACAAAATTCCAGGCCAGCCCTGAACTCAATTCCCCAACACTGTACCCCAAATAGCAGAATTTCCTTCACTAATCTGCTGTACTAATTCAAACAGATATTACACACCATGCAATCAGCACAGGTTGTTTTCCAGTGTTTTCTCAAGCTACTTTCAACCCTAGCAGCTTTCCAGAATAACCACCTGTATTTAAAAGAAAGTCTTTCCTTTCTTCCCTATACAGGGCTGGTTCAGTCCCGGCCAGGTGTTCGTATTAGATGAGTATTGTGCCCGGAATGGAGTCCGAGGGTGTCACCGACATCTCTGCTACCTCAGAGACTTGCTGGAACGGGCAGAAAATGGCGCCATGATCGACCCCACCCTCCTTCACTACAGCTTTGCCTTCTGTGCATCCCATGTCCATGGGAATAGGTAAGCATGAATCTGCAGGTATCTCTCGTGGTTTGTGACTGGTCCTGCTCTATAGATTATCTTTCACTTGTGAGCCATCTCTGGCCCCCTCCAGTAGCATGTGCACGCACACACACACACAAAGAATTTTAGATACTATAGAGAAATGGCGAAGAGGATGTGTCTTTTTTAAGTTGAACCAATCTGGGTTAAAATTATGATTCCTCTATTTTGCTACTAATGGTCCTTATTGGTGATTATGCCTTCAGTGCCACACTTCTCTTCTGTACAGTGGGAATGACAGTATCCTCACATAGTTGCTGAAAGCATGCAAGTGGATATTAAGAGCTCATTAAGATGCCCTGAGTAGCCATGTATGGTGTTGCTCACTTGTAATCTTAGCGACTTAGGAGGTAGAGGTAGGAGGATCATGGTCTGACTTCAGGCCAAAAAAAAAAAGAGAGACTTTATCTGAAAAATAAAGAAACAAGGGATGGGATATGGCAGGCCATGAGTTCAAACCCCAGAACCACTAAAAGAGAAGAAAAAGCTTAGAGGGGCTGGGAAGGTGGCTCAGTGGTAGACTGCTAGCCTTGAATGCATGAAGCCCTGAGTTCGGTTCCTCGGCTCCACATCAGCAGAAAAAGCCAGAGGTGGTGCTGTGGCTTAAATGGTAGAGCACTAGCCTTGAGCTGAAGAGCTGAGAGACAGCGCCCAAGCCCAGAGTTCAGGCCCCAAGACCGACAAAAAAAAAAAGAAAGAAAGAAAAGAAAAAGCTTAGAACACATCCAGGTCTTAATAATTGTTTGTTTTTGTTAGTACTTAATGATTGCTTGCTTGGTGTCAGACTCCGTGGTACACATTCAGTATAAATGGTGAGTAAAAACTAGTCACCAAACCAGCGTGGAGTTAAATTGAGATTGGTGCTTTGAGAAAAAGCAATGCATTGCATGGTAGAATTTAATAAGGTACATGACTCAGATGGAATGGCAGGATGGCAGGGAAGACCTCCCTGAGGAAGCGATGCAGGAGCTGAGAACCAAAGTGTGCGTAGGAGCTGAGGATTCCAGGCAAAAGGAACAGCATGTATAACTGCCCTGCAGAATGCGGAAGCCAAGTACATTTTGAGAGCCGAAGCAAGCGAGGTGAAGCTGGAAGGCAACGATGCCTACAACACTCACAGAGTGCAGCCACAGAGGTGGGAACCACTGAAGTGATCACAGCCTAACAACCCCCTCATTTTGTAGATTTTCTAGACAAGACCAGAACATCAAGTCTCCTGATTCTGTACTACAGTACTCTCTATAGACCTTGCTCAGCTCCTGAAGAAAATGATCCATGTTCTGAATAATGCAAAGCAGCAAATAATTTAAGAACATTGCCATTTGGCTCTGGGACATGGAATAAATTTCCACACTGCCACAGTCAGTTTGCCATCCCAGTGTATGTAGCCTGACATTAGTATAAAGATAAGTCTACATTATCCCAAAGCACCGCAACTAACAGCCAGGGAAGGCACAGCCAGAGCAAAGCTAGGTGGCTTTGGAAAGCTAGCCTCCGATGAATAAGTTGTTGCTTTGGGAAAATCCACGTGAAGAGAATCCTGAGCTGGGTACCTTCCTTTTGAATCAGCTGCGTCAGTGCTCCACATATTTGCAAGGCATTTAGCTCTGAAATATCTGTGGGATGCATTCTGTGTTTTTCCTCTCTCTGGCGCCGGTAGATTTTTATGAAATGCAACTTCAACATTTAGAGCTAGATAACAATAGCATTGTAGGTTTGAATATTTCATAGGCAACAAGGTTATCTTTATCTTCTATTGTTTTAAGATTTCATAGCCTCACACAGGACCTTTTATTTGCACAAAAGATATTCATGGAAACTCTGATACCTGGGGTGTATCTGTGCATAATTCTCTTTTTTTTATATAAATATGTACACTTTGATGACTATCTGTTACAGCCTGTTGGACTGAATTCTTTAAAAAGAGAGAGAGAGAGAGAGAGAGAGAGAGAGAGTGGTTGCATTATATTCTCTGGGTTGTCACACTGTATTCTACATATGTTACTGAATAAGAAAGTGTTATAAAATAATGAAGTGTTTTTGTAAACTCCCTGGTAAACATCATCATGAATTATGATACACATTGTCTGGATTTCATATTGTAAGACTGCCACTTGATTCACAGTTAGGTTTATACATCTTGTCATGGAAACAGTTTTGGATTTCTTATTTTCTTTTCAGTTCTGATTTTCCTTATGCAAGCTTACATCTTTTTTTTGCTTATTATTTTAGTTTGGATGCATTTGCTTTTGCTTTTTTGATATATCCTTCCTTTTCTTTCTTTTGTTTGTGCATGGATGTATGCTCTTGATTCTCCTGGGGTTGGCCACACTCTCCATGTCTCATGTCACCACCCCCCTCTCCAAAGTCAACAAATGCATGCGTACCTTAGTGGGCTACTGCCATATACCAACTCTGAAGGGAGAAAACCTCCCTCCTCACCGGAACCAGAGGCTAAAAGAGATACCAAAAGAGAATCTAAAAAAAGAAAAGAGTCCAAAATCCAGTCAAGTCAAGAACCCAAAAGGTAAGAGGGTACCTGCCTATTGACTTGTGTGTTTTGCAATGCCTTTGACCTTTTCCCATCCCTTTATTCATGTCATCACATCTGCATTTGCAAACAGCAAGCTTTTATGTACTCAAGTCTCTGTTCCTTTAAGGGTTTTCAAAGGTGATTTTTTTTTTTTTAACTAAACAGCCTAGCAATGGGCAAAAAAATATGGTGCTTTGGGTCTAATATTAAGTCAGGTGTTCAGAAACTTTTTTTTAAGCATGTTCATATTGAAAAGACTAATTGAGCAATATGTAAACAGAATTATGAGTCAGATTGCTTTTTTTTTAGTGGCATTTTGTTAGGGGCTTGGTTCCTTACCGAATCTTTCATAATAAGCAGCCTGTGCTCTATAATTCCAAAGTCTGTTAAGAGAATCAATGCCGTGGGTTGGCGTCAAGTAGGGCTACACATCGATAATAGCTCTATCATTTCCAGCCACCACCTCCCCTCAGTTAAACAGCCATACCATAAAAAGAAATCATCTCAGATAATTATTTTAGTAGTGATACAAAATTAAAGCCTACTACTAAATGAATGGCTGTTATTAGAGACGCGATTTAATGTGGATGCCATCTTCAAGGTACTTTCACACTAACATTTTTTTATCTTATCCTTTTAGGAGTGCTCTCTTTGTTAAATGATACATTGGCAGATTGGTAGCTTTTATTTTCCCCTTTTCGATCACATTTACTCATTATTTCCAGTTTGGTCCCTGTGTCCTTCTTCCTCATTCTCTACCTTTGCGACCCCAAATTAACATGGACACTTTAAAGTTTTGGTGCTAAAGGTTTGGGATCCAATAATTCCGATTCAAGCATTGCCAGGGTACCCAGAATATATCAGCAAGTGTGCTTACTGCTCCGTTATGAATTTATTCACTGAATATTCCTAAACCCTGAGATGTATCAGTTCATGTGTAGAGAGAGCAGATGAAAATGCACACTTTGGCTTTCCAGGAAAACATGGCAGGCTGTCAATCAGAATATTTGGGTCCAGGAGTAAGGGTAACAAGAACCCTAATTCCATGTGGCTATACCCCTCTCCCTCATCGCATATAGAAGTGGAGTTTCTGGTTCCATTTTTACTCGAGGAATCAGATCACAAGAAATAATCAGTACCTTGCAAATGGTAACAAAGTGGGTAGAGAAGGTTGAAGAGACCTGAAGGTCAGCTTAACTGAATGACAACTTAAATGAAATTAAATGAAAAAGCTGCCATGGATGGTGTCCAATGTGCTGCTTTACTTTCTGCTGCAAAGCAGAGAGAAATGGCCACTATTGAAAGCAGTCTGGGCTCAAGCCTGACCTATTTCCTTTGCCATGAAAAGGGTATCCCAGGGGTTATTGAACAGTGCTTTGACAGGGTCTGTATTTGCATTGCATTTTTTAGGGAAGAAGAAATGACAATATTAAATAGAAAGTGCTGTTAAGCATTCTCTAAGTTGCTATAAGCTTTTCAGACTAACCATTTTTGCATGTTTTACATGTAATAAAAATGAATATCTGGAAATTGAAGTAGCAAAAACAGATTAAGTCCAAAGCTCTTCCTTATTAAACTACATCAGTACTAAACTTAGATTGTAAAGACCTGAGTGTAAGAAACTGCTCTTTTTAAACCTGGGAGTATTTTATCTCATTTCTGAGCTTTTATTTTCTCATCTCTTCACTGAAGATTGAATCATAGTATCTATAATTTCTCTTTAACCTCTAAATGTTTCTTCTGTGAGTTACAATAAAAAAAATATAGTGGCCATCATCATGTTTCATAAATATGGTTCAATGAAAATAAGGATAATTGCCACCATGTAATAAGTATTTGTGAAATGCTAAGCACTATATGAAGTGCAGTTGACATATTTTATCTTCATTATATCCCTGTGAGATAAGTATCATTCTTTCCTTCCTCTAATGGCTTAAGACTCAAGTAAATTCAGGCATTTGCCTGAAGCCCTACAACAAATAGCAACATGAACATGACTCCAACATAGATAGACTAACTTCAAAACTTAGATTTGTTAGCCATTCAACCTTACTACCCACCCAGGATTGGCACTTATATATGATACGAGATGCCATTTGGTGTTTATTTCAGTGTTTCCAGATGCAAAGCTACAACATTCATCAGAATTAGTTAATTTGTTGTCCATTTGAAGGCAAAAGATATCCAAAATCAACGTAGTCCACCCAGGAATTTTAGCCTTGTCAAAACAACCAGAGGAGGAGAAAGAAAGAGAGAGGGAGAAGGAAGAAGAGAAGGAAAGTGAGATGGAGGAAGAGGAAGGAGAAAAAGGACAGAAGAGAAGACTGAACAGAAGAGGAAAGAAAATCTGTGACTCCTGAACAAGTTGCTCTTCATCTGAATTTAACCGAACAACTAAGCCAATTCCCATTGTCAGCTTACAACC